AAATGGTTAATGGTATGCAAATTACCTAATTAATATGCACATACGGCATATAGAACTATTTTGTGAATGGTAACAAAGTTGACTTTGGTGCTCAAAGGGTTAATGATATGCAAATTACCTAATTAGTATGTACATACGATATATAGAACTATTTTGTGAATGGTGACAAAAGTTGACTTTGGTGCTCAAATGGTTAATGGTATGCAAATTACCTAATTAATATGCACATACGGTATATAGAGCTGTTTTGTGAATGGTGACAAAGTTGACTGGGGTGCTCAAATGGTTAATGGTATGCAAATTACCTAATTAATATGCACATACGATATATAGAACTATTTTGTGAATGGTGACAAAAGTTGACTTTGGTGCTCAAATGGTTAATGGTATGCAAATTACCTAATTAATATGCACATACGGTATATAGAACTATTTTGTGAATGGTGACAAAGTTGACTTTGGTGCTCAAAGGGTTAATGATATGCAAATTACCTAATTAGTATGCACATACGATATATAGAACTATTTTGTGAATGGTGACAAAAGTTGACTTTGGTGCTCAAATGGTTAATGGTATGCAAATTACCTAATTAATATGCACATACGGTATATAGAACTATTTTGTGAATGGTGACAAAGTTGACTGGGGTGCTCAAATGGTTAATGGTATGCAAATTACCTAATTAATATGCACATACGATATATAGAACTATTTTGTGAATGGTGACAAAAGTTGACTTTGGTGCTCAAAGGGTTAATGATATGCAAATTACCTAATTAATATGCACATACCGTATATAGAACTTTTTTGTGAATGGTGACAAAAGTTGACTTTGGTGCTCAAATCGTTAATGGTATGCAAATTACCTAATTAATATGCACATATGGTATATAGAACTATTTTGTGAATGGTCACAAAAGTTGACTTTGGTGCTCAAAGGGTTAATGATATGCAAATTACCTAATTAATATGCACATACGATATATAGAACTATTTTGTGAATAGTGACAAAAGTTGACTTTGGTGCTCAAAGGGTTAATGATATGCAAATTACCTAATTAATATGCACATACGATATATAGAACTATTTTGTGAATGGTGACAAAAGTTGACTTTGGTGCTCAAATGGTTAATGGTATGCAAATTACCTAATTAATATGCACATATGAGAATTTTCACTGATTCACAAAGATTAGTCATGTATTGTATGCTTTACAGTATAAAAACGAAACTAGTTTTGGGATTTGAAAACTAGACAAATCAGACATTGTAAATGTAAATATGTGCCTTAAAAAGTAAAATGATAGAATGCGAGTAAATGTCTTGCATTATTGTGTGATTTATTTTTTATTTTTGTTGGCAGGATTTCTTCATAGAGTTTAGTAAACAAAGTCCATGTGTTTTATCCAGATCATTACTACAAATGATATTCCTGCCACAGAATAAGAAAATATTTGGTTCAGAATTGATTCAAGATTTCATCCGAGAAGGAATTAGAATGTTTTTATGTCCCCCAGTCTTGGCACC